GAACTCCTGAGCTCAAACAATCCGCCCGCCTCGGCCTCCCAGAGTGCTAGGATTACACGCGTGAGCCACCGCTCCCGGCCTCAACCTTAATATTTACTTAGTTTTTCCTATTTATATATTTATGTAGTTATTTTTTCTCCTAAAAAAATGAAAGCCTGTTTTTGAGTCTCATCTTCCTTTTCTGCTCCTTGGAACTCATCGTTTAACCCTCTTTCCTTGCTACCTAGATTTTCTTTCTGTGTAGAAGAGGTCTTTTCTCTCATCTTTTCTTCCCTTGGAGCTGTCTCCTAGAATCTTCCTTTTTCCTGCCTCAATCTGGATTGCTGATGCTCTTAACTTTTTGTATTGCAGTAAACTTAGACTTTCCAAGATGCTTTCCTGAGTTACTTGTGCTGTTTTCTATAGTTTCGTGCTGTCTTTTATTCATTTTCTTTTTCTGGCAGAATACATTTTTTGGCATTCTAAGAAAGCGTGTATGGGAAGGTAAATCTGGTTCCTTGCAGTTTAGAGAATGCTACTTTTCTATCCTCACACTTGGTGGATGGTTTGGCTGGGTATAGAATTTTATCTTGAGAATAATTCCCCTTGGAATTTTGAGGGTATTACTAGCATCCAGAGTCTTTGGCCATTCTTGACATACGTCTACTTCTTGTTCTATAAACTGGATGCTGTTCTCTTCCCTTCCTCCAGCAGCTTGAATCTCACAGATGTGCCCTGCTGTGGATGTTGGGTGAAATAATAAGCGGTGTTTTAGTTTGAGACATTTTTTTTTTGTTAAATCTTTGAGTTTCTGTTCGTCTCTTCAGAAGGCCTGTTATTTGAGTATTGAACCTCCTGGGTTGATTCTATACGTTTCTTACAGGAGTAGATATTTTTCATCTTAATCTTCTTTCTGGGAAATTCTTATCTTCTGAGCTTTCTTATTGAATTTTATTTTATTTTTTTAAATTTTTTTGGAGACAGGGTCTCACTCTGTCACCCAGGATGCTGGAGTGCAGTGGTGTAATCATAGCTCACTGCAGCCTCGAACTCCTGGGCTCAAGCAATTTTCCTACCTCAGCCTCTTGAGTGGCTGGGACTACAGGTGCATGTCACCATGCTGGCTAATTTTTTTAAACTTTTTGTAGAGATGGGGTCTCACTATGTTGCCCAGGCTGCTCTCAAACTCTTGGCCTCAAGCAGTCCTCCTACCTTGGCCTCCCAAAGTGCTGGGATACAGACATGAGCCACCTTGACTGGCCATATTTTCATAATTGTATTTAAAATCCCAAATGACTTTTTCTTTTTTTGTGTTCTCTTTTCATAGCACACCAGGGTTTTTCTCTGTTGAGTGTCTTCTCTTCCTTGCATTATATCTGTGGCCCTGCAGAGGCTGTTTATTTCCATGTGTTTTGCATTCATTCATTCAGGAGACTTCCCTGGGTCCTGGGGTTCCTTGGTACTATGCTTGTGTTTAAGAGCACAGCACTCAGGTCTATTTGCAGCTGTGTAGGTGGGGTCTTTGTTACCTGAACACCTTTGGGGAATCTCCAAAAGATTCAGTGGAGAGGTTTTTCTTCTGGGGTGCTTCAGTTCTCCAGGAAGTATCCTTTGATTTCCCATGGCCATTGTTCTACACGAGGGGACGGGGACTGATGGCCCCTCCCGTGGTGATCCCCCTCTCTCCCCTCACTTGGCACAGAGATCTGACCTTTCAACCGGCTTACCTATATTCAACTTCTCATTTGACCTCAGTGGAATCTGGCTTCCTTTCTCTTCATTTTGGGTCCAGCCGTCTCTTTCCTCATCCAGGTTTCCTCTGGTTGCATTGTGGGATGTGGTTTCCTCCTCTCAGCTAAGAGTAGCAGCAGTGGGCATCTGAGGGGCTACTCTGTGGTCTGAGCTACTCTCGGAGGCTAGTGGTGCTCTTACTCCCCAGCACTGTGAGTGAGCAGCTGGCCAGCTGGTCAACTGCCCCCTTTGCTGCCATTCTAGCCCCCTCTGTTGAAGTGTCCCTTTTGCTGATGTCCTCTCTTACCTTATTTATTTGCTGTCTTTTTAAGAGGATCTTGAGAGGGGGTGGATAATAAAGGAGTGCGTTTGGTTGTCTTTCTTTCCCAGTCAATTTTGAATCTTATTGGAGTTTTTTGTAAATGAGTTTCCCTCTTTGGCATGGAGTATAGTGGGGATAAGAAGGGAGGATTTATTTTGAGATTGACAGACTCAAACAGCACTGAGGAAAACAATTGCAAAGCAGCAATAGGTTTGCCTAATTTCACCCCACATTCTAACTTTCATGTTCTAATATTTTATTTTAAAAACTAGGTCAGAAAAAGAGTGCACGCCAGTATCATGTACAGTTCTTTGGTGATGCCCCAGAAAGAGCTTGGATATTTGAGAAGAGCCTTGTAGCTTTCGAAGGAGAAGGACAATTTGAAAAATTATGCCAGGAAAGTGCCAAGCAGGCACCCACGAAAGCTGAGAAAATTAAGGTGACAGATGATCCTTTAGTACTCAGTATACTTTTTGGACCCACAATTTTAATTTTAATCTTTTATTAATCTTGTTATGAACTTATAGTTGCTTGAAATATTGTAATTTTTTTTTTTTTTTGAGTCAGGGTCTCAGTCTGTGGCCCAGGGTAGAGTGCAATGACAGGATCATAGTTCACTGCATCCTTAAACTCCTAAGCTGGAATGATCCTGCCACCTCAGCCTCCTGAGTAGCTGGGACTACTACAAGCATGAGCCACCATGCCTGGCTAAGTTAAAAAATTTTTTTTGGTAGAGATGAGGTCTCGCTATATTGCCCAAGCTGGTCTCAAATTCCTAGGCTCAAGCAATCCTCCCTCCTTGCCTCCTAAAGTGCTGGGATTATAGGTGTGAGCCACGGTGCCTACCTGTAATGGCTTTGTTATTAATATAGCTATACTTTTGCCCAAGTATGCCATGTTTTAAAATATGACAAGTTTCTATGGAGACACAGTTTTTTTCTTTTACTCATTGATGACTCCTAGAGATAATTTGTTTCATAATTTTTATTTTCCTTTATATGTGTGAGAGTGTGTGTGTGTGTGTGTGTGTGCGCGCGCGCGCGTGTGCGTGTGTATATAAAAACATTAGTTAATGTGATTGGAATTGATTTCCGGTTTAAAGAAATAATATTATGTTAGGCTAAATTCTGTCTAAAACCTAAGTTAATTGGTTTTTATAGTTTTGGATTTCTAAATTTATCTGAAATTGTAAAAGTATCCTTTTTTTAAAGTCAGTTAACTTTTATGTTTGTGTAATTAAACTTACAATGTCTTATATTTTTTTTTCCAGCTGTTGAAACCTATTTCAGGGAAACTGAGAGCCCAGTGGGAGATGGGCATTGTTCAAGCAGAAGAGGCTGCAAGCATGTCAGTAGAGGAGCGGAAAGCCAAGTTTACCTTCGTTTATGTGGGGGACCAGCTTCATCTCAACCCTCGAGTGGCTAAGGAGGCTGGCATTGCTGCGGAGTTTTCAGGAGAAATGGCAGGATCCTCAGGAGTCAGTGAAAAAGCTGCTGAAAACCCCAAGTTTATGAGAGAAGAGGGCATTCCCATGAAGAGAAGGCGGAGAACCAAACCATCTAGCTCTGCTGAGAACCAGGAGAGTGACCCTGGCACTGTAAGGAACAGTCCTCAAAAGATGGCAGAGGTGGACCTCAAAAGAGGAGTTGGGTCTCCTCCTGGGAGGAAGAAGGCCATGGCCTCCACTCCACGAAGCAGGAAGGGAGATGCAGCATCCCAGTTTTTGGTCTTCTGTCAAAAGCATAGGGATGAGGTCAGTACTCTATGGGTTATAAGTTGGTGGGTTTCATGCCAGGGAGTTTCTGCACTTGAGGAGTATCACTTCATTGTTCTGTCACCTGTGTCTCTGTACTATCAGCAGTCTGTAGTGAGCTTTGCATAGATTTTCGGTCTAATAAGTATCATTAGGGAGTGGCCATCTTGACCCTTGGGGCAAAGATGCTTGCCTTTGCACTCAGGGTTACTAAAGTGATCTTCCGATGTGGGTGAGAAGATATTGGGAACAGTGGGAAGTGGGTTTCATTGGGCTGCTCTTTGCTGGAACCTCAGCCTTGTCCTTAACATCTGACTCTGGGTTACCATTTCTCTAGCAGGCTGTTCTGAAGCTTCCAGTATGGAGTACACTCCATTATAAAACTTACTGTATCCACTAGCACTGAGTATGTTGAAGATGTATTTCCATGGTATTTAAAAAGTAATATGATTAGGCCAGGCATGGTGGCTCACGCCTGTTCCTAGCACTCTGGGAGGCCGAGGTGGGAGGATGGCTTGAGCTCGGGAGTTCGAGACCAGCCTGAGCAAGAGTTAGATCCCATTTCTACTAATAACAGAAAAAAAGTTATCTGTGCATGTTGGCGTGCACCTGTAGTCCCAGCTATTCAGGAGGCTGAGGCAAGATGATCGCTTGAGCCCCCAGGAGTTTGAGGTTGCAGTGAGCTATCATGATGCCTCTGCACTCTAGCCAGGATGACAGAGTGAGACTTTGTCTCCAAAAAAAAAAAAAAAAGTAATATGATTAAAGCATCTAAAGAATTTTTTTAATCATTTTCATAAAATATGCAATCTGTTAGTACATAGTAAAGGC